GTGTGCGTGCGTGTGTGTGTGTGTGATATATACACTATTTGTACAGTCAGCTTTAAAACTGAAAAGAAAAAAAGATAGACTCTTAGCATACCACTCTTGTAACACCAGTCAAAACATTGTAAGTAATTGAATAAGTGCTTATAGAAAACTTATAAGAGATAATTGGATCATTGGCTTGAATATAAAAAATAGAATGTGTAGAGAATATTTGATGTATATCTATGCAATGTCTCGTTTAAAACTAAATATAGCCATGGGATTCTGAGTTTCATTCATTGACTATGAAGACGATATTATATCACGAACTGAGAATCATTTAACCATGTTTGATCCTAAGCCTGTGATGTGAATATATATCTTTTTTTGTTTGAAGATATAGTGGTAGCTCTAAAAAATGTAATGTAAACTTCTACATTATATATAATATCACTTTTATTCTCATTTTAATATCATAAGATAAAGTATGTAATATTTCAATAATAGTCAATAAAATTTTTAATATATTCATTAATCTATCATCTTTTCTATTTTAAAAGTCAATTTTAGGCTGAAGCAACTCATTCTTATATCTGTTAAAGCAAATCCCACATAGATATATATAAAATGTCTCACATTATGCATTTTTTCTCAACAATGAATTTACAGTACAAAATTTTTATATCTTGAGTTTTAGAGCTCTCTAAAGATTCAAAAACCACATTAAAATTATTAAGATAAATTCTATTTGAAGATAATAAGCATTCTCTAGTTGCATTTTTTATTAGTAAAAATTCTCATTCTTGATCATATGTAACTCAAAAATTGATGAACCACTATTTAGAAAAATGCTATTATTTTAGTATCGTCTTTAATAATATTCAAAGAGAAAATGCACGATGTCTATATGTACATACATATAGCAATCCATTTTACATAATATGACATGTCTCGAAGTGACACATGTCTAGAATAAACTTTTAACAGTAATATATAAGTTATATATTCTAGTACTTAAATGGTGTGTCAATTACAACAGAATCTATTCGATGATAGCATACACTTATTTTGTGCAAAGCAAATTCTTTTTGGAAGAAAAAAATTTATTTTTTTTTCTGATTTATATATCTATAATTCATCATTATATATCTATATTCATATATATATATATATACAGACATATGATGAATTATAGATATATAAATCGTATATATTATACTTATATAAATCATATATATTATACTTATATCAATATTGTACCAATTATGTTGAAATATATACATACATGTGTACATTATATATATAAAAGACTATTTTCCATTACATATTTTGCTATTATATATATAATATTGTTATATAGATAACTTAAATAATTAGTACTTATACTTACACAGTGTAATTGATTCTCTATACAAGTAATGATTCTCTACATATTTCTTTATAAGATAAAAAGACTGAAACGTTTTTCTCAAAGCATCTTTCAGTTTTTATTCTACGAATTGTTTTTTGGTTATATTTATACATGATGTCTGATCATTATTGGATTTCGATATCCAAAAGCGGATTTTTCCTTTTAACAGACATAAAATTTATATGGAATCAACTTTACATTGGCTACGGTCGAGAAGACGCTAGAAATGCTTCGAAGCATTGCATTAACCAATTAGAATAAAGAAATCTTTACTCTCTTTGTCCTGATTGGTCAATCAAACGCTTCGAAGCATTTCTAGCGTCTTTCCGACCGCAGCCATTAAAGGATATTCTTGTGTACTATACGTTCGAGTCTATTTAGCGCGCAAAAGTGCTGCTCATTGATTCGTCAATTCATATCGCATTAGCCGCGCTGTTTATCTATTTTACTACACTCTTGATTTTCTTCTTCTCATATATTTTTTTCAGTTTCTTGCAATATATTAATATGTGTACTTTGTGCAAGTAATATTATATCCAATGCTATGAAAATTATTCCGTTTCAATATGTTGTACATTATTTTAACTTATTCGAAAATACGACCAATAGCGTCTTTCTTCTGTGATACGTGATTGGTCACGAAAGAGAAAGCGTAATAAAAGACGTTTATCTGTCGAGTGAAGCCTTGAGTTTGGTGAAGCTGACGCCGATAACCACTTCACACTTCGATACAAGTGATATTCGTGGATAGTCACGGATTCTTGCAACGTACTCTGTAGAAACGGTCCAGTTGTTAAAAGTAATAGATCTGAAATCGTGCAAAGATATCAAGTAAGTATCCGGATATATGAATAACTGATATAATTCCCGAGATTGAAAGTTTTTAGTTATCTTTATGTTTAATATTGTGACAATGTTATGAAGTTGCTTAGACGCACGTGCCTGGCTGTGTAAGCAAACAAAAGGCGCGTACTGCTAAGGACATACTAAATTTACAACAAATAAGAAAAAACGAAACAAAAGGCGTATTGATGGTGTATGTTTGGGAATTGAGTTAGCAAATATTCCATTTATATATTTTGGTTTCTTATTCTATCGCTAAAAACGAGAAAATATATTAAAATCTTAGTTAATTTAAATTAATTTTATGGAAATGTGCATGTGTATACATAGTTGTATTACAAGAAAATTTTTCAAAAATATTTTTTTTATATAATTTGTATATGTATATAGAGAAAAATATATATTAAGAATAGCCTCTATATACTATAAAGATGAGAAAGAAAAATGTTTTTTGTTTTTCACTTATAAAATTACATTGAAAATTAGAGACAGATTAGAATTTTATCAAATCTATAGAAAATCTTGTGCGTAAGATCATATAAATTGACTCAAAGATGTATATAAATAGATATTTTTTTAGCTGCAGAATATAGTAACCACACATAAGATAAAAATTATATATATATATATGATATCAAAGTATGATAGAATATTCTGCTCAAATAAATGCTGCTTTAAAAGATACAGTTGCGAAAAAATGTAGCAAATCTATCTTTATATTCTTTATTCACAACACTCCCATATTCATCATTTACAAATAATTCTTAGCATATATAAATAATTTTTTTTTACTTTTTTCTCATATATTTGGTGAATAAATTTTTCATACATTTGGAATTTGCTGAATAAACTTCTTGAATTTTAATTATAATTTGAATAAGGTTAATTTTAGCAAATTAGTTTGTAATCTGATAATATTACATTTTTTTTTAAACAGATAAATTTTATCTGGTTTATTTATTTTTGAACAGATTTTAAAAATGATAATAATTAGAGCAATATTTTTTTAGTAAAATGTCAATAAAGAAAAAGGTAACAAAAAACATGACCTTATAAAAGAATATTTCAAAAGCTTTGATGCCATTTTTTTACATTTAATATCTTTCTATAGACACTTAGGATGTATAAAAAGCATTTTATATAGCTCCAAATATTCAGGAAATTATCTACTTTATAAAAAAATGAAAATTTTGATATATTTTAATCACATTTTTAAATATATCTATCTTATTTATTTAAATCAGGATAAAAATAATATGTGAGTTAAGTTATTTTAGGAACATCTTATTTTATATTTTTATTTTTATTACAAAATTATTAAATTTTAGATATGTCCAGACAAGGAGATAGAGGTTTTGATCCCTCTGAGCCATCAACTAGTAGTGGATATAGAAAGAAACCTTATTCTAGGTCATCAGAATCAGTAAGTTAAAAGCATAGACTTAGGCTGCGGTCCGAAATACGCTCACAGCGCTATAAGCGCGCTGCCAGCTATAGTGCACGTGACGTAAACTATAGATTTTCAGTAGTATGAGCGCTGTGAGCGTATTTTGGACCGCAGCCATAGTATATCTAGACCGAGTGTTGAGGAGTGGGAGCCGAGGTGCACGTAGAAAAGGACATACTCTGTTTCGTGCCCCTTGCGTTCTCTCTCGCTCGCACGTAGCATGACGAAAGAGAGCGCTATGCTCTGTGCGAGCGAGAAAGAACGCAAGGGGGACGAAATAGAGTATGTCCTTTTCTACGTGTATCTTTACCCCCACTCCTTAAATAAAGGCAAACGCTCGGTTTAGATATACTATGTCTATGGTTAAAAGTAACAGAAGAAAGAAACCATTACATTTTTTTCCAAGTTTTATTTCTAAAAAATAAAGTAAAATTATAAATTTTAACTGTACAATTTGCATTTTTTATACTTATTTAATTCCTACAACTAAATATTATATATTAATTAGTTATTGATGGATATATTAAAATATTTTCTAAAGTATTTTCTAAAGTATTGTTATTCAATTCATAATATATTTACATTATTTACATTTCACTGATATTTTAATTTAATTCATCAATTTTTTAAAATAATTATCTTTTTTAACCATAATTTTATATATTTATTAGAAACAATTAAATTCTTAAAGAAGTCTTTAATAAAATTATTATTTATTGTTTATAAGAGAGAGAGAGCGCATTAGAATCATA